GAGAGAGAGAGAGAGAGAGAGAGAGAGAGAGAGAGAGAGAGAGAGCTGTTCTCCATCTTTTGTGCATAAATGCAGATGCATCTTGCATATAAACAGAGCCCATTATACAGACCATCTGCTGTGGCCTCACTCCATTTGCTGAGCACTATGTGAGGGGCTTGGGCTCCTGCCTCTCATGAGTGAGACCAGTCCCCCCAAATCACAGAAAACCCTGAATAAAACTGCTTTGAAAGCTCTGAAAACCTGTCAGACATCTTCACAGTACTCTCTGGTGAGCTGAGGTCAAGATGCCTAAGGACGAGTGACCCCAGATGGTGCCTGAGACACATGGGCTTTTCTAAGGTGCTACCTTCTGGAGAGGGGGCAGCTCAGAACCTGGGACTCAAGCACAGCTCTTAGCATCCCACAGGGTCACAGAGATTCGAAGAATTCATGCTGGGCATACTTCAGTGTCCCCAGGTGCTCACTGAAGCTCACAGATCTTATTCACACATAGAATTTTGGTCGGAAGAATTCCAGAGATAATAGATCCAAATATTTGATGTTATCAATATGGCAGTAAGTGGTAACCCAAAGACAGTGTATGATGTGCACAGGGTCACACAGCAAATTGGTCTGGCTTCCTACTGCAGCACATTTTCCTTCACCCCACTATACTCCCAGCTCTAATATCTTCTTCCTCTCCAGTGGACTGGGGAGGGGGGAGACAGACAGAAGGAGAGGGAGGGGGAGACAGGGACAGGGACAGAGAAAGAGACAGGAGAGAGAGAGAGACAGAGAGACAGAGACAGAGAGAGAGACAAAGAGAGAGAAACAGAGACAAACAGAGGGGGTCAATTTAGTCAATTTCTGGTTGTGATCTTTTAATAAATGAGAGTGCTTTTCTAAAATGAAACCAAGTGCAAATCCTTTTATAAAAATTATTGGTCATTTTGTTCTAATTACCAAAGTAAAATGAAGTTACTAAAAAAAATGTTAGAAAATACATATGAGTAAAAATGAGCAAAAGCCAAAAATGACCACAAAATATTCTCTTTCTCGTTGAACCTTAATATAGCTATTTTGCATTTTTAGAAAGGTACAGTTCTCACTGAAAGAGCCCAGAAATACTAGGTCTTTTCTAACTTGTTCTCACAAGTGACCTATCACACTGTGATCGGCTCTCACAGAATTCTCTATTCCCTTTTTTTTAAAAACCAAATTGGTAGGACAGTTTCAATAATTAACACATTGCATTATTTATTCTCTTACCTGATCTGTTTTGAGGTCAATGCCAGAAACATACTATACTCTGACCTCAAGCTGGTGCCCTCCAGTTAAAACACTGAGAATTTTTGAAAGTCTTTTACTATTGTACCCAAACCTGCAATAAGCATCTTTATGCATAACTTGGTGATGTTCCCGATCATTTTCTTTAGGAAACATTCTTAAAGTATGGAGCTCAACATTTTAAAGTTCTGAATATCTGGTTCCAAATGGTGCCCAAGACATGTTTCCTCAATGTGCACCCCAGAACTGTGCCTTACTTGAGAGCGGACTGAGCAGCCTAGTCACTCCACCTTGATTCCTGACATTCCTGCTCGCCTTCCTTTAATCAGCCACAGCCTGGGGTGCAGCTCACAGGCACAGCACGTGCCCAGTGCATGTCCTGGGTCCATCCCCTACAGCACAGGCAGGTGGACAGATGGACAGATAGCCTTACAGGATATAGCTAACTAGATTTCTAGTGGAGAGGTCAAGACCTTTGAATTGAGGGCCTACTTGAAATGGTCAATTTTGAGGGCTCTGAGTGGCCTGCTGGCCCACTTTTGTCCTAAGGTTCATAGTTCTCTCAGTTTCTTGCAGTGCTTGCAGGGTCCCCTCCCTTCCTTCCTCTGGAAAACAGGAATCAGTGGTCACCAAAGCGCAGGACAACTGCATCCTTGTTCACAGGGGGAAACTGAGGAAGGTGTATGTAGAAAAAGGCACTTGCCATGGTGTTCTGGCTAACAAGTGTAACACCAAGGAGACACTGCCAGGAAGGGAGGGGACACTGCACGAAAAAAGGCAACAGTGAGAAGAGCCACTTTGCTACTTTGGGCAGCTACCTAAGCATTGGCCATTCAGTCCCAGAGGAGATGGCTGACTTGATGCTGGGTGGGGCACTGCCCAGGCACTCTGCTCAGACCTGCCAATTCTGACTGTAACACAGCCCTGGAATCCAACATAAGTGGGAATTATTTCCTCTGAGTCTCCAGGGCTTTGTGATGGCCATGTTCCCTGAGAATAGACAGTGCCCTCAGTTAGCTGGGTCATTTCACAGTCAGGGATGTGGGCTCTTAGGCCTGTTAGCCAGAACACCATGGTAAGTGCCTTTTCCTATACGCACCTTCCTCAGTTTCCCCCTGTGAACAAGGACACAGTTGTCCTGGGCTTTGGTGAACACTGATTCCTGTTTTCCAGAGGAAGGAAGGGAGGGGACACTGCAAGCACTTGCCAGAGCTAAGCACTAGGCCAAGCACTTTGCACAGGGGAGTTTGTCTAATCCAGACAGAAGACCCTCTGGGAAGGGATGGCCCTACTCCTGCCTGTCCAATGCCCCTGACCCTACAAAAAGCACAGGTATTAGTGCCTGACCCCACTTCCTATTCCAGGCATAGTATGTGACTCAGGTGTGGCCAATCAGAGAGGCCATAATTGGTGCAAGACTGTCATGTGACCAAGCCCAGCCAATGGCAGTCAGCCTGAGATTTCTGCTGGAAGTATTGGGGAGGAGATGACCTCTTTACCCCTCAGCCACTCCTGCCTTCTTATGGAACAACTTAGACTACTGATAAAATGGGCACAAGAGAAAACAGCCAAGAGACAGAGGACAATAGATTCATGACAACTTCCTCTGAGCCTCTGGAAGGAGTAATGCTGAATCCAGACCTGCCTTCTAAACATTTTAGCTCAGGAACCCTTTTTGGATGAAGTTAGTTATCATTAGGTTCATGTTACCTGCAATGAAAGGAATCACCTATAAGCCAGGCATATGGTGCACTCCTGTCATTCCAGCACTCTGAAAGACTGATGCAGGAGAATGTTAAGTTCAAGCCCAGCCTGGACAACTTAGAGACTTGGTAGGACTGTCTCAAAATAATTTTTTTTTAAAGGCTGAGGCTGTCACTAAGTCCCAAAGCCTGATTCCCTGTCTGACTCTGGGTGGTAGGTTTCCCCATGTAAGATGAAAACCGTAATGCCAGTTATGTCAAGGATGTTGGTGGGGATTTTTTAGTTATAGAGACCATGAACCTAACTTTGGCCAAAGGGATCTTGAGCTGAAAAATGTAGAAAGTGGGCCCAGTGTGGTACAACAGGACAGAGCTGTTGTTTTTCTTCTGCCAACCATGTATTATTAGTTGGTTGCACCCTACAACCACCACCCCATAAGCTGCGGTTACTTCATGATATATCCATTCCAAATGTCACAATCAAACAACACATACCCTGGTCACTGGGGGCTTCAAATAATATCTGGTATGCTATTTCTAAAATGCTGATTTTCCTAAAAATTCTGGGTGTAGCAGGCCCAAGTCTGGCCTGGGCAGTGAAACTTTAAGGAGAAATTCCAAGGGGTCCATCCTTTGCTGTGTTACAGGAAGGAAAGTGAGTTTGGGTGGAAGTAGAGCCCGTTGTCCAGAGGATCCCTTCGCACCACAATAAGCCCCACAATCATTGCAGGAAACATCTTTCCTATAGTTTCTAACAGGTGTGACCTGGCCATTAACTCATTTGAAAGGGTACAGCACAAAGCCCTGGAGAGTCACCAGGGAGGGAGTGCTGCAGATTAGGAAAAGCCCTGGATCCTGGGTTGTGCTGTCCAGAAGCAAAAGAGAGAGCCTGGCTTCTCTGACTATAGCAGTTGGAGTTGGTGCCCAGCCATGCTGGCTGCAGTCAGGATTGGGGCATTGCTAATGGCTCTGTGATCTGCACAGCAGACAGACTGTCTAGCAGAGACGGTTGCAGCAGGTACTAAGCCCTTTGTGTGGATGACATCATGGAACTTCCCAGCAGAACGCCCAGCAAAGGTGGTTGTAATGTGACCTTGGACCTCAGGAAGGCTCCTTGGCATGCACTCTCGGGTCTTTGGCATATAATCACACTGTGCCTGGTTGTCGCATCTGCAGAGTGGGGGTAATGATCCTCCCTGTCACCAGGATGATGCAAGGACTAAGCAAGGAAGCTCTTAAAGCATAAAACCTCATCCTTCAGGCATGGACCCCAAGGATTAGAAAGGGCTCACTTCCCAACAAGCAGCCATCCAGCCATCATATGACCCCACAACCACTGCACACGTGTAGTGGGGGAGCTAAGTATGCCAAGATGTCCACCCCGCGCCATTCTGCCCTCGTTCCTCTGAGCTTGGGTACCCTTTCTGAGGTGCTGGGGGACCATCTGGAGCCTCACTGTTTAGAGGGTCACAGAAGGGTTTCCTGGCTGTGAAGAATAGAGAAACACCACCTCTGTCCCAGCCCTGGAAGCAGGCAAGGAGAATTTTCCCTCTTCGGGGTGGGGAGTTGGGGGTCAGAGGTTCCCTCCCAGGGTCCTGCTGTGCACGTCTGACTCCCACCTCACGGTGGCACAGGAATACATCGCGTTTTGGAAACTCTAACTCGGGCTGGCGATCCCCATTCATCAGGAGGGGCCAGGAATAAACAGGAGGTGTAGGGTTCTAGGCCCAGGGTCAGTGGCACCTACAAGGCTTCCAGTGCAGGGACCCCTCCGGCTATCACCTACCCTGTGCCCAGTCAGTGTCTCGCCCTTTCCATCCCCGCCTTACTGCATGATCCCCCCTACACACACACACACACACACACACACACACACACACACGGGCTAATGTGGACTGGGCCAAGGGCCAGGGTGGGAGCCTGTGTGGAGCTCAAGACTCAGGCTGCCCCGCCCCGCCTCGCCCCGCCCCGCCCCGCCCCGCGCCCCGCCCCCGCGTCCCACCTCCGCGCCCCGCCCCCACCGCGCGCCGCGCATCCAGCACCTAGCATAGAGCACAGAGCACCACGCACTAAACTTTCCCCAGAGCTGATGAGGGTGAGTCGGACACGGGTATCGGGCAGGCAGGACCTGGGGATTGCGAATCTCCGCTGGGTGTAGGGGACTCCGCGTCGGCGACACGAGGGGCGCGCGCCACAGCCTGGCGACGCCGCGGCGGGCAGGGTCGAGGAGCGGACACCTGTGGCTGGGGTCGGGGTTTCGCGTTCACTGACTCCTTCTGGGGTCCTCTTGCTCGAGTCCACGGGAGGAAACAGACTCTCGTGCCCGGAGCGCGGGAGGGGCAGCTGGGTTTGGACCGTGTTGGGCGTCCGCAGGCAGGAAGCTGCCTGCCCGGGACTGGGGTGAAAGCACCAGACTCCCCACTCCAACCCGAGAGGACCCGAGGAGTAGTACGGCCCGGGCGGGGACATGGCTTGGACACCGCCCGGCCAGGGCTCCGGCCCCCCAGCTGCGTCCCCGAGCCCCTCTCCTGTTCTGGGCTCCGCAAGCCGGAAGCTTGGGGTGAGTGTGTGCAGGCAGGGTTGCTGTCACCAAGCAGGGAGCCCCCACCTCCCACCCAGCGGCCAGGGAGCTGGCTGCGTCCGTTGCCACGCGGTCTCCGCGTTGCCCCATCTACAGAGGCTTGGGGAGCCGGTGCCATGTGGGGGATGGGGCAGAAGTGGGTTGCAGCGTCTGGGGGAGGGGGTCAGAAGAGGGCCCCCTCCAAGTTGTGTTCCTGGAGGCCCAGGCAGGGACAGAGGAAGCCGAGAGCCTTGTGCAGTGTTCCATATCTCACAGCAGTGGCCCAGGAAGGTGAGCGCCCTTACGCATACTACAGCAGGTGGTCACAGAGGCTCCAGGGGCCAGGAGCTCCCTGGGATCAACCAGCTGATCCAGGTGTGGCAGAGCTGGGCTTTGAAAACCAGTCTTGCTGGAGTCTTAGAATAGCCGTGAAGCTGGGCCAGCAGAGGAGACCTTAATTTAGATCCCTTTGTGCTTGTGGCTGGATGCACAGTATTGGCAGATAGCAGGTCTGTGCCCGGTGAACCTGGTCCCCCTGCTGAGGAACACAAGCCCAGGGTTCCCCTAACAACTCACACAGGTGCCCTGCTGTGAGCGACCCTCACACACCAAGCTTCTGGGTGAGGGGTGGAGGGACAGGAAGGGACACCTGGTACCATTTGAGGGGTGGCAGAATCCTGAATGCGGGGTGCTCCCAGTCCACAATTTTAGAGCTGGTGAAGGCTGGTGCTGCCAGCCAGAGAAGTGTGGGGGTTGTTGCCCTGGGAGTGGTCCCCAAAGGAGGAGGAACCTGAAGTTCCTACTGCACTCTTTCTGTCCATGAGCAAAGAACTCTGGGCTGATGGGTTCTGGAGCTGGATGGCCTGGGTTCAGATCCCAGTGCTGTCACCTGAGCTCTGCGACCTTGGGCAAGTTGCTGTACCTCTGCTTCTGTTTCTGCATGTGGGATTGGGGCATTCATAGCAGCTTCCTCCCTGGGCTGAAGAATGTGTGTATGCTCATGTGTGCAAGGTGCTAATGTAATGCATGTGACATATAAAAGTGCCACTGCAGTGTGCTCATTGTTCTTGGTGCTGCTGAGGTCCAGCATCCCTACCACCAACAACCTGCAAAGTGAAGCAGGTCTAGTTAGCTGTCATGTGTCCCAATGGCCTCCTGAAGTCACAGGCTTTAAACAGCCCAAGAGCAGAAGTCTCGCTGTGAGCTTCTGGCCTCTGCGAGGCCCTCAGAAGGGCTGGGTAGTGGTACACTCATTACTGGCCTCCTTCATGCTCCTGAGACTTCCAGTTCTGGCTTGGTTCAAAGGGGGCCAGATTCGGGACAATTTTCAAAGAGAATGTCAGAAGAGAAGTCAGGGAGGCCAGAGCATGCTTCTATGACACTCGGGTGTGCAGTGGAAAAAAGGCTTCCTGGCTACCAGCCTGGATTTGAACTGTATGGTCCTTTCTTGGGTCCCCCAGGGACCAGCCAGGATGTCTTGATGGCTGTGAACTCAAAGGTGACAGATCTGAAATTCATTTCACAAGATACCCTCACACAGCTGTCCATTAGGGCTCATCACCTGACTGCTTGGATCTGCCACTGATGGGAGGGATATGTTCAGTTTTCAGCTGAGGAAGACTTGTCCTGAGTTCTGAATCCTTTTTTCCTTACTTGAAAGAGTAAGTGGAGGGACTGTGGGCTTCCATTTGCTCATCTGCAAAATGGCCATTAATCATAGCTGTGTGTGCTTCTCAGGATTAAGGCAAGATGGACAGGCAGAGAAAAGAAGGAGGGGGCAGATCACATAAATGGCAAAGAATTGCATGTGATTGTAAGTGATTCTCATTAGCATTCAGGCCAGGCATGAGCTGTAATTGCTCCTGATCCAAGATGTTTTATCTGAAAGCCGTACCTGGCAGAAGATCATTCAAGCCCTGGTCACCTGCTGCCCTTCCTCTCACAAAGCCCAAGAGCATTTCTGAATCTCAGGATGTAATTAGAATAAAGCTCCTGTATCTTATTTATAAGTGACTCACTTCTGCCATTAATGGTGGCAGGGGACTCTGGGTGCATACTCTTGGAGAACAATGCCACTGATGCAGGGGGGAGGGGGAGGATACTACACACACACACACACACACACACACACACACACCACCCACTCTGTAGTCCTCCCTTGGTCCTATGAGTGTCACAGGGCCGGGATGGAAGCTGCAGTGCTTACTGTGTACTGCAGCATGCTCTGCACAGTCCCTCTAAACTTGTTGCTGCCTAGAGAACATGTGTCATAGACCACTGCTTTCCAACAGCTCTTGCTGCAGAAGGGGTTGGGAAGTCTCCTCCCTGGCTTCACTGAAAGTGTGGACTCTGCTTACTAGCACACCTGAGTCTGAATCTTGTTTCTTCCAGCTTGTTAGTGGAGAGATCATGTTTGGCCATCTCCCCAACTAGAATATCGACTCTACAAAAGCAGAGACCATGTCTATCTTATTCAAAGAGCCCACTGCCTGGGCTGGGTGGCCTGCAAGGATCTGTGCATGAGATACTATCTGAAAGCTAAGTGGCTCAACTGAGCTGCAGCTTTCCTATCTCTTAAGTGGAGCCAACACAGTATGACCTCATTGGTTGCTGTAAGAATTGAATGGTGGCAGGTTTTACCCAGGATACACACTGTCCTTGAGGACAAATAGATGGGTGGCCACAAGGACACAGCTGGCCTAACCTGAGAGAGACAACTTTTTTCCTACTTCCAGACTCAAGGAAGATAGTAGCACCAATCATAAGAATGCCTGGTATTTAGTCAGCATCCCAGAAAGTGCTTCCATAAACATTCATTCCTCAAGACTAGGCAGAAATCACTACTTTTGCTTTATAGGTGATGAAACAGAGGCTCAGACAGGCTGGTAGGATGCCCAGATGCACAGAATTCAAAAGCAGCAGAAAGTGGTTTGTGAAGCCAGACTGCAGTGATTTCCCAATCCTAGTTAGTATCATGAGCTCTTTATCACCCTCTATGGGATAGGAGGTATAGCATTTAGACTTCCATGAACATAGTATCTCTCTTCATGACTTACGGTGTTTTTAGTGATATTCCTAGTTATGAGATATTTTGTATGCTGTTGTATATGTATATGCATATGTGTAATTATACATATATATTTACATTATTTTTATTTGAGACAGGGGCCTCCCAAGTGCTGGGATTACAAGTGCGTGCCATCATGCCCAGTTTTAAATTGATATTCTGGTGGTTACTTGGGAACATGTTTGCATTTTGCATATTGATATTGTTTTTAGAAATTTTGCCAAAAATCTCTTTTAAAATGTATTTGTTGATTCTCATGACAAGAATACACACACAATTATAAGGGGTGCAAATGACAGTTTTGTTTCTTCCATCCTAATTCTTTGGCTTCTTCATTTATGTGACTTGAAGAGGTGATGGTGAATAGCTGTCCATAAGATTATTAACTCTTATTTTACTCTAGATTTTTGGAGCTAACTGTCAAGTAAGAAAATTCTTTCTGTTCCCATTTGGCTGAATATTTTTCTGTTTAATGATAAATGGTAGTAGGGTTTTAACAGATGATGTTTCTGAATCTGCCCAGATGATCATGTGACTTTTTCTGTTAACCTCATGTATGACCCTGATTTTTTATATTTCTGGAACAAACCCAGCTTGCGTCATCCTGTGGCATCTGTATCACCGGATTGTATCTGCCAGGCTCTTTGTTAAGGATTTTAATAGCAGTTCATGGGTGAACTTCCCCCGTGATTTCCTTTTCATGTGTCCTTGTGAAGCTTTGGTGTCAAGGTTATGCTGGTCCTGTGAAAAACAGAAGGTAGGGCCCCCGAGTCCCTGTTCTTTGGAAGCAATTGCAAAAGCTGGAAATTGTTCTCCCTTGAGTGTCTGACAGAGCTCAGCTAGGGGCCCTGTGGGTGGGTGTGGAGGCGGGGAGTGGGCAGGAAGCCAGTCTCAGCAAGGCCAAGGAGGAGCCATGACAATGAGAAGTCCAGAGACCCTGTCGTCGGGATGGCCTGGCAGCAGGCAGCAGGTGAGGGTTCTGCGCAGCAGTGGTCCTCAATGAAGGGGCTGCCATCTGGATGCCTGTGACCCATTCTTGAGTCTCTTCCTGCTTCTAAAATTGCTGCTATTGCTGCAGACAGCTGTCTGTGAGTGACTGTTCCCTGGTGGCCTTAGATTGGGGAATGTGACTTCCTTGAGCATTCATTTCTGTCCCAGTTCCTCCTCCTGTCACAGACTCAGTTTTTCTGGGATCCCACATTATGACCCATTGGGCTCCTGACGATTTGCTCCTTCCAGGGGAAGCTAGATCTAGGCAAATTTCTCCCTAGAATCATCCCTCAGTCCTCTTTTATTAAAGGAGCCAGGCACTGTCCTACCTTGAACTGTCTCTCTACACCCTGTAAAAACACTATGACTTGGTCACTAAAGGCTCCATTACTCAGGTTAGGAAAGTCAAGGTTTCTAGTTATAGTTTCTTCCTATTCTGCTCTAAGTGATTGCTCTTTAACCTGCTTTGGGTTTGGAT